TATTTTTCCATCCCTCCAGCCTCTCTTTAGTCTTGTATCTTGTGGTGAGAGTAGTGACAGACTCAACTGGACATGTCAGGGCTGCCCAGTTAGCTGCCTGTCATAAATTAAGCCTAAATACAACACATCTGTTTTCACCACAGCGCCGTGCAGACGAGCAGAAGTAGACATTCCTCTCATATCTGAAACTAAGCTAAATAAATGATAAAGAGAGCATGTGCACACCTGCAACAGCGTGCCAGAACAAGACCACTTTAACTCACTAAATCATTCAAAAAAGGCTGAACTAAAAAGAAACAATAAAAACAACGAGATTTTTTGACTGAGAAAAACAGTCCCATGTCATCTTTCTCTTTTTAAAGCCATAATGGAGACAGAAAACTTGGCTCTGACTGCACTTACTGTGGAGAAACATCAAAATAACCAAGAAGCAAATAAACAGTAAAAAGATGTCTGCAAAGAAACTGCTGAGAGGAGCGAAATCAAATAAACTGGAAGTTCGTCTCACAAAAGGCGAGCTGAAGCACATCTGAAAACAATCTAAAGAGGGAGAGAGAGTGAGAGGACAATGCAAAAACAGTTCCAAAATCAAGATACTGACTGACTTCCAAAAACAAACAAGAAACTGCTCTCTCAGTGAGGGCTATGGAAGTAAACGTGATTTCAGCCAGCTTAAGTGCTCCCTAGAAGGCCGTTTTAGGGGCCAACACACACATACGCACCAAAAGAGGGAAGGAGTTAAACTTTTACTGTCACTGCACATTCAGCCATAACAATAAATTGTTCTTTGGGAATGTCAGTTTCACCCCTCCCCAATTCTTTGCCTCTTTTTTTCTTTCTTTCTTTCTCACTTACTTCGACACAGTTCACAGCGCACACACACACACACACACACAGAACTTCTGAATCTCACCACATCATGTGGCCAAAACCGTCTGGCCATAAAGCAGTCAGCGTTTGCATCTGAAGCACAGGGGGGACTTCGTACAACCTAAACAATGGATTAGCGAAGGAACGTGCTGCAGGACTCTACGTGATTTCATTGGACCCCGACCGCCTCTACCTTCACGCGCTCAGCGGCCAAATTCTACTCGATGGAATTCCTGAACATGAATTTGCGCAACCACACATTTGATGGAAAATGCTATTAATTTTCACTTCAATTAAATTATGCAATGAATATATCTGGGATTGTGGTGAGCGAGAAGCTTACTAAAACAACTGGGCCGCGTCCAAAAAAAGCTCCTCATTCTACAGGCCACCCGAGGGACGGAGTCTAAATCACTTCAACTTCCTCTAAAAAGTTCACCTAAAATTTCCTGGAAGCACAACAGCCATGCTCTAAAGAAAATAAAGAGAGTTAATTGGTAAAAACAACAGTAATTATCAAAAAAATGGATGGAATGGCGACCAACAGGCCTACGGAAAATGTCTTCAAGTAGGCTATGGATTATGCCTCATAATAATGCTTAAAAAAATAAAAGATTGTGTAAACAAAACAAAGCTTTACATTCAAAATTCTGAATAATTTGTAATATATAATTATTCACGGTATTTAGAAGTGCCCACGATAACAATATCGTGCATATTCATTACCGTGATATATCGCATTACCGAATACCGGCACAAGTCTAGTAAGCACATTCATTATTCTGTATCACAAAAACACAAAATATGACTGGAAAGTCAATCTGAAACACAATTTACAAAATTATTTATTTTACTTTATTTGCCTATAAATATATTGCATATTTGTCTATATGTAGCATAAGCAAAAGATAATTAGGTAAAATTATAATTTTGTTAAATAATAAAATATAACATGGTAAAATACTAGCTTTTAACCAACTGGAATTGAACAGGCCAAGAAAAGTTGGTTGGAGGGCAAGAGGGTTTAAGGAATTAGTGATTTCAGCCAAGACATAACACACCAAAAAAGTCAATGATGGTTAAATACATTTCTTAAAAATAATGCACTTGTTATCTTTAAAACTGGAGTTTGCTTCGTCCTTATCTCTTCCCCCTCCTCTTCCTCTATCTCTTTCTCCATTCTGAGCTACTTTCCCAAGCTACTCTATAACAGGCCTGTGAAAGGAGGTCACATATCAACTTACCAGGCGTCTCTCTCTGACCATATGACCCCTTCGGCAGTCCACGAGGCCCCATGTCATTCCATCACACTCGCTGTCCCCCCACATTCACGTCTTCCAAACCACCATCTAAAAGCTGCCCCCTCCCCTCGTCTGCCCATATCCCGACACTAATTGGTAAATCTGTTGAACCATAGCACGTCCAACAATGAGACACCTGGAGTTCTGTCAAAACAAGTTTCCCTGTGAAACAGCCTCAAGTGCTAATACAGTACGAGTCCTGGCTAACGCCGTCTCGCTCAATGCCGTGCAGGAATATAATGCGTGTGTGGTGGGGGAGGTGTCGTAGAAAGGTGCGGAGGGGACGTGTTAATGCCACTTCTATTAGAGTTTAGATTCTCAGAAGTTTGGGAAGGAGGAGCACGATACTGTCTGGCTCCAGTGGAAGCCCACAGGAAGTCCTTGTGGAAGTTTTGGCCCCGACAAAAATCCCAAACATTCTTGCAGTTCTTGTTCCGACACCCTCCCCGCCCACCATCCCTTCTGCGCTCTCTCTATTTTAGACGGACCGTGAGTAGTGCTCTACATATACTCAGAGTGCTAACACGGCAACATGCTGTGGTTTGTATGAAATCATGTGCAGCTAAGTTTGAAAACCTAACTGAGGACATGGAACCTATATATTTGCTTGCCAGTTAGCTGAAACAACACACACAAACACAAGCAGCAACACGCACATGGAGGCATTAGGGCGACATATGGACAAACACTTAGATTTTTCCATTCAAACTAGTTCTCAAACACATATGAAACAGAGATACACTACTTAAGGAACTCTTGGTGCACCTTGTCAAACAAGTTCTGGCAGAAACTCTTTACGAAAACAAAACAGTTCTGCCCCCTGTAATTAGTGTCAGATAATAAAACAAATGAAGATTTATTGTTTTGTGATTTTTATAAATTAATAGACCAATAGACCTCTTAACTAGCTTAGTTAGCAACAATCTCTTATACAATGTGGGTCAACTAACAGCATCAAACCAGTGTGAACTAGTCAAAATCAGCATGGAAAGGACCAGGTAATGCTAGTCTAACTGAGGGCTAGATTCAATGAAACACTCTTAATAAATTCAAATTCAAATGGTCTTTATATAATTATGTCAAATGTTCTTTATTTATATATATATTTTATTCTTATTTTCTAACTTAAGAAAAAAAGTACAATATTTTGTATTCCAGAAAAATGTCTTAAAATGGTTTTTAAAATAAATTTAAAAATCATTACAAACATTCTTAAAAATAATTCTAAATAACTTCAAACAACTGCAAAGCCTGCCATTTTATTCTTAAAAATCATAATAATAAAATAAATGAGAATTTAAGATTTGTTCAAGAATTGCACTTATTTTATCCTAAAACGTTAGTATAGGACCAATAATTCTGCCTAGATGTATAGCTACCATGTTTTGTTAAACTCTTGCAATATTTGCTTTGGCTGCTCTTAAGATTAGCTTTAGGAATTGCTTCTGGACTCCAATTTAAATCTCACAAGACTTTTCACAGAATGAAGGTTACCATCTCGACATGACCTACATGACCCCGAGGGACAAGACAAAAATAAGACAAGCACATCCCACAATGCCACAGCTTTCTCTATAGACCTAAACACAAGGAGATGAGCTAAACAATCGCTCGCCCCACTGATCCTTGCACCGCTGCTGAGTTTTGGCAGACCAAGGCTACCCATCGTGCCCCCCTTTCGAATTCCACACACTGTTTGTGTCCATCAAGGAGGGCCGAGGCGCAATTGAGACACTCAGCGGCAGTGGCCCCATGTTGCGTCACTCCACGCCACATCAAAACTGAAGAGCGGTGCCAGACAGGCACTCTCATTCGCCGTTCTCCTTCTCTCTCCCTCTACCTCATGTCGACGGACAAGAGGACAATTAGAAGAAGGCCTCGTATCATCCAAACATCCTTAACCTCGTCCCACGCAAACCAAGTCACGCAGACATTTACACACACATGGGTGCGCGTGTGCACACAAAAACACAAACCACTCCACCTCCTAACTTCTCGCTGGCATACGTTCAACCCCAGATGCTACAAATGAAAAGCATCCTCTTCACGCCAGCTGCTTCAGAGAAAAGGAAAAGAAATCAGAGAGAAATAATCGCCACCATTCCGGAAGATGCAGGAAAATAATTAACAAGGCTGAAGCGGGGCCTGCGAGCAGACAAAGATGAAGCTCAAGAGGCATTTCGGGCTGCCAGGAATCCAGAGATGCTGAATTTTGCACCGCTGGAGTGGCGCTGATGCTTTCCTGTTACACGCAAACACTGTATATCGTAACAGGGATCCTGCTACAGACAAAAAGCATCATGTCAAAGGATAGCAACAGTTTACAATTACCACACAAACTAAAGGCACAAGAGCCAAGTCTGCTCATGAGGGTGTGTGTGTGTGTGTGTGTGTGTGTGTGTGTGTACAAATGCAAAGCAGACTCAACCCCATTTTATATAAAAGAGCAAGAACACAGCAACAAACAATATCAAATACAGCAGAACAAAACAAAATAGTTTTTGACATCTCTCATTGTAATGATTTTGATATTTTCTATTCTCTACCCTGTTGGAAAACCCAGCTTAAGCTGGAAAACTGAAACAAGGTTGCTGGTTTCTAGCTGGTCAAAGCTCTTCCAAGTTGGTCATTAGCTAGTTACCCAGCCACGACGTTCCAAAATCCAACTTGACCACCTTTTAGCTGGTTACTTCCAGCTAATGGCCAGCTCGGACCAGGAAATAACCAGCTAGAAAATCAGCTACCAGCTGAAACCGGATTTTCCAGCAGGTAATTCATTTAAACAATCAATAAGCCAGCTGCAAGAAACTTGGAATTCAGGATTCTCACCAACTGTAATTGGTGAAGACTCAGATCAGTCTGTCCGGGGAATTCCAAGCAGAAGGGCCCCTGCAAGGCAAAGACGGACGTCCCGTGTCACAAATTGAGAACATGGTACACTCATCACTCAACCAGGGCATGAAGGCAAAAGGCATGACATTTAAAACCACAAAAATGTCTAGCTGTGTGTGCCACCCCTCTCCTTCCCTGTCTGTTTCCTCTCTGACTGCAGTGTCAGGCCGCTGCCAGGTACAAGCCCAAACATATCTCGTGTTCAACATACAACACACGCAGAATACGCAAGTGCATGTTTGTTTACTGTGATTTGAGGTTGTGATATTGTTAGCATGTTGGCAGTGTCTACACAACTGAACTGACTGACAAAAAGAGTACTGATGTGGCTTTAGGCATTGAGGCTTTGTACACCATGTTCCTGTTATTATGCTGAGAATGCGGAGTCTTAATGGCATTCCCAATTGCCCTGCAAAGCTTGTTTCAAATACACTTCCGTTCCAAAGTTTGGCATCTCTAAGACTTGTTTAATGTTTTCAAAGAAATCTCTTATGCTCACTAAAATATAAAACAGTAGTATTCTGAAATATTATAATGATTTAAAATAGAATTCATTCTTGTGAAGGCAAAGCTGAATTTTCGGCAGTCATTATTAACTCCTCAGTGTCACACAATCCTTCCAAAATTATTCTAATATGCTGATTTGGTGCTCATGAAACATTTCTTATTATTGAAAACAGAAAACAGTATTTTTGTGGCAATTGTGATACTTTCTTTTCAGAATCGTTTGACGAATAAAACTTAAAAAATGGAAATTTACTTGAAATATAAGCCTTTTGTAATATTATAGTCTTTATGCTAATTTTTGATACATTTAAAGCATCCTTGCTGAATAAAAACACTAACTTCTTAAAAGAAAAAAAAATCTTACTAACCCCAAACTTTTGAATGGTATTTCATCTCAAACGTTCCTCCTAAAATACTACAAAATGATTTATGTCATACTATAGTGCACAATATGCTAATATTATTGAATTTGCTAACACTGTTAAATGTAATCTTTAAAAAATCTCAAAATGAATATTCATTATATCATATTTTTGGGGTGCATAATTCCATTGTAACATTTAGAGTTATCATTAATTTATTTAGATAAAATTCATTTGCTGAAAATATTTACTGAAAAGAAAAGTGATATAAAAATGGGAAAACTTCTGAAACATTAAATGAGACTAAAGGGGAAATCTCAGGATTCAAATCTGAGAACGAATATGAGGAGATTTAAAGTGGCCATTTATCTCACTGCTGCTTAAAGAGATCTCATACATTGCCCTACATATGGTCCTGTTAATGGGAAAACACACAAGAGTTGTGAGCGTCCTTTATATAACAATATAAATGGCTGAAGGGCTGATGACCTTGACACCAAGTCCCTCGTAAAAGAGTTTGTTGACATTCCCTGAGTTTGGTTAAGGAAATGCTTCTGGGAGGCCTCTCATGCACTACACAAGAGCACACGCTGAGATGTTCTCCAAGCTTTAGCCAAAGGTCTCAGGACAAGTGACATCTCCTTGTTTCACATGGTCCTGTCAGAAGCGGCACAACTCCGGTTACAGTTACATACAACAGGCCATGGTTACATCACTATGCACCAAACAGCACCAAAAAAGACGGGAAGGAAAAGGCGGAGGCCCTATGGAGAATGAGGGAGCGAGAAAAGTGAGAAACAGTTAGTAGAAAGGGAAGGGGAGAACAAAAAGACAGTTGGTTCAGTGTCTTGTGGCTGTGACTCTGGGGTCCTCATTAACAGCGAGGGGGCTGGGTTTCCCAGCATGCCTCTGGCCCTCCCAGCCATTGTCAAGCCAGTCCAGGTGCACCACCATTCAGTCCGAAAAAAAGGCAGCAAATTACCCAGCAAAAACTACAGGCCCCGTGCTAGCTTGAGACGCTACTCCTACTCAGCTGGAGTCTGGGAAAATGCCCTGCATGCTTTATCTGTGTGATTCATTTAATTTACTCTTTATTTTTAACATTAATATCAATACTCAACTTTGTTTGAACTCCAGCTACCAGACAGACTCGTCTTGTGACAGCAAACAGCAATCATGCCCTCATCGTACAGCGGTTCAGGTGGGAGGTCCCGCTCTGTCAAATCGGAACACATTCCATCACTTCCTAAATACCAATTAACATACAGGAACAGACCAGGACTCCTCCAGCTATTCTTCCAAACTCCACCCTTTCTATTCTTCCTCCTTTCCCTACGTTCTCACTGTTCCAGCGTTTTCCTGCAGTTGGTTCACTTGCACATAGTGCTTGCACGCATATGCACATTGCTGTGGGGCCTCGTGGGGAAATAGTTAACACTCCAGCCGTCCCCTGCTGCCTGTGAAAGCCCAGAAAACAATGGAGATATTGTCCATTCTCAACAAGACTCGGAGCAAGAGGACAATGTGTGTGTGTGAGAGTGTGTATTAGACAGTGTGTAGTGCGCCTGCATGAGGTTGTGTGTGTGAGTGTATGCTTTTGCCTCAGCATTATTTTAGAGAGCAGTATTAAAATACAAACAATTAAAACAACGAAATTTTATTTCACTGATTTATTTATTAATTTTTTTATAAAACGAGTTGGATAAAATAATTTGCAACACACATTTGCAGTATTCACTATCAATTTAGCACGTCACCTGACCTGCAAAATGACCGCACTAGCTTTAACCTGGGTATGGTTACCGCAAAGTGCAGACTCAAGTCAACTAGTACGATGAGTCTGGGAAAATAATAATTATTTTATTATTATTATATTTATTTATTTATTTATTTGCCACTTAGTTTTCTGTCTGTGAATAAATCAGCACTTATTAATTTAGGAAAAAGCTAAAATTATGGTAAAAAAATTCAACTACAACATATCAATCAAATTGTCATTTCCTGTGTAAGTAGACAGTTCTTGACCACAATAAAAAGCTGCAAATGATCAGACTTTACGCTGTGAGTTAAACATCTGGCTATACCACTCTAGTATATGGCCTACACCAAGAAACACTACATAGGGAAACACTGATGGACAGCTGCGCATACAAGTCGAGAAAGGGAACGAGAACAGGAAACTGATCCCGGAACGAATGGCCAATGTGTCACAGATGTGGGGAAATCTATCGTTCCGTTGTTTCCAACTCCTTCCCATTGGAATTGCAATCGCATGATCCCCACTCATACCGTCCTTGAGTTCATGCTCTGTCCGATGCCAAATACACAGCACATGTGTTTTGCAGTCTACCTGTCTGAATTGTCATTTCTATATTACAGTCTATATAAAGAAAGGGCTTTACAAAAAGAAAGGGCTTTACAAATCACATTAAAAGTTACTGGAGATGGCAGTGGGACAAACGGCTTTGCAGTGGTGTGTTCTTTATGACTTGTGAACAGGTAGTAAAATGCATGCTGACTGTGTGGGACTAACAGGCTTTGAAAAGACTGCGGGGCTCTTGAGTACTTTAAACATCCTGGCACTGCCTTCTATGGGCGTGGACAGAAATGAGAGGGTCACTTCCTGTGCCCTATTCATAGAGCAGCGTGGAGTAGCACCCCTATGGCCACAAGATCGTGTGGAGTGTTCCTATGACTATGGTCACACATTTAGTGCCTATGACTGACAACATACTTACTAACTAGTGGTTGGATTCCACCTAAAAACTTTTTATCCCACAACTGATTTATTTTTCATTATGTGATTTTTTTAAACAACTTTTAATTTAGAGCAATATGTAATATAATACATTTCATATTTTTTTTAATTAATATTTTAAAGAAAACAGGCATCCATACACAGGAGCGGCTTGAATACTTTCCATATGAATAAATACTGTCAAGCTTTTTTTCTATTCTCGTGATAGCCATAACAATTTTAAAGAGTCACTTAGGTTATAAAACGCAATTTATAACAGAGCCGTGTATGAAAATAACCATATACAGCCCTCTAAAATAGGACTGATAACATGTATTCTGCTGCTGTGTGAAGGCAACTAATGTCAAGCATCAGCCTCATGTGTGCTACTTCATTCTCTTTTAGCTGTATATACACTTTTTAGACTTGTTTGTTGTCTCTCTCTCTGTGTCTCCTGCATCGGTCTCACTTCATTGCCATGCTGCCCTTTTACGGTCTCACCTCCTCTCTCCCGCTGTCCACCTGTGCATTTGTATCTCTCTCATTGGTGATTGTTGGGTCACTTGAACTTTGGCTTATACGTTCCTTATCTCACGCCCATCGGCGCTCTCTTATCAGCCCACGGCAGACAGGCGTCTTCAGAGCCATGGGTCAAGGTGGGCAGGTGTTCTTCCAATTCGACAGAGAAGAGTAACTACTGTTTACGGTACAATTTATTGATAAGGCCTTCACGTACAGCAGTATATAGGCCAACTTGAGTCAAAAATAAATAAATAAATATAGAGCTCAGGCCATTCCACAGTTATCTATCCCCGACAATACCAAATGTCTCCAGATGGATTCACCGACGGCATGATGCAAACCAAGGAAACATCAAATCAAACACACGTCAGCACAAGAGTAGAATGGGAGAGCGAGAGAGACAGAAAGACGGAAGGATGAAGAAATAATGCAAAGTACCATGTTAGGTCTTGATCAAACAGATACGAATTGTATGAATGAACTAAATAAATAAACGACCTTAAATGCAAAATGGCTAAACACCATGCAGAGCAAAACATTCATCTTACTCTCTTGCTGTATGTCTTTAGGGCTGTTTTAAAAGGCAATAGAGAAAACTGCTCTGTGCTGATAAGCATTTACAGCCTCATGAGTCAGAGGGATAAAACTCAAGTGCAGTATTTACCTGAACCTGTTCTTAACTACCTCCCACACATTTAATGATTCAGAGAGGGAGGACAATAATTTTTATCTTTCTCTTAAAAAAAAGCACATGGGATGGCTACCCTACTTTTATATGTAACAATTGTTTACTACCAGTTCAGCAGAAGCAGCTGTAGATTTGCCACTTCATTCATCAGGTAGTATTTACTGTATTTTTGATCAAATAAATGTAGTCTTAGTGAGAATATGAGGATTCTTTCAAAACCTTTAAAAATATTACCAACCTCAAACTTTTCAATGGTAGTCTATCTAAAATTGCATTAGACAGCAAGTGGGAAAAAAAACATAAAAATATGGTAACACTTTAGTATAGGGACCAATTCTCACTAGTTAACTAGTTGCTTATTAGCATGCCTATTAATAACATATAGGCTGTTTATTAGTACTTATAAAGCACATATTCTGCATGTCCATATTCTACATCCCTAATCCTACACTTAACAACTACCTTACTATTAATAAGCAGCAAATTAATCATTTATATTGAGGCAAAAGTCACAGTTAATTGTTTGTTAATAGTAAGAATTGGACCTTAAAATAAAGTGTGACCCAAAATACAAATACAAAATATTAAATAGCAAATAGTTTTCAGTCAATGTCAAAGCCAACCATGATTTTGACTTACATGGTCTCAAAAAACAACAGGCACATATTAAAAAAACAAAACAAATAACAATATTAATTCCATGCACACTCTTTAAAGCTAACTAAAAATGTTTGATCTCATTATACCACAATAACATGGTAAACAACCAAACAATAACTAATAAAATTCAGTCCTGTATGTTCAAAATGTGTTCAACTCTCTGACAAAATATTATCCTGGATTCAATGGATTATTGTCTTATATTCCTAAACATGACCTTGGAGGCACTCTGTTGCTTCCAGTAACTATGGAAACGCAATGAAGCCCCCAAACTCCTGCACCACAATGGAAAGACCAAAATCAAATTTGGTCTATTGTCCAAGGAAAGGAATCAATAGCCTGATGATTTAACATGGTAACATTATTTTCGCCCAGCCATGTGTCTAACCTTGAAGGCCTTATCGTCTATAGATTTTAAAAGGGTGATAAATTTAGAGTTAAACACATGGATAACAGCACTCACCGATCCAGCGTATAAAACTGCAAAATAAACATGGCATCTCTACTCCAGACACTCATTGCCTGAACCAAGCTTAGCATGGGCGTTAATTATACGTCTCCACTGTAAAAAGACGGTCTTGCCCTCTGCCACTTTGCGCCATTCAAAGGGAAAAAACTGTTGAGCTACACTGAAATCTCACCCTCTTGTTTTCATGAAGAAGCCATATTACAGACAAGCGCATTAACAACACAATCTGGGCTGCGTTTCCCAAAAGCAACGGAAGCTTAAGTACATCGTAGACCCATTGAAACCAATGGAGCTACGATTAACTTAAGCTTACGATGCTTTTGGGAAATGCATCCCTGGTCTACAGTTTTTGTAGATCACTAGACCAATTGACAGCTGTGGATTAGGAGAGGAGTGTAAGATCCCAAAGAACCCAACAATACCGGAGGTAGTTTGGTTTTCATGGACTGTGCTGTAGAACAAAGAGCTTTGTAAATGGACTGACTCATGGGTGTTACTTACAACGATGTGTGCTGGAGAAGGTGACCTGGCATCTTTAAGTGCTTGTCTACTCTGAAGACTTCCTGCTTGAACATCTAGCAGGGGCCATTTCATCTGTAGATACTGGATGGCAGAAAGAAAAAAATGGAGAAAAACAAAAGAAAAACATGTTAACAATGCAGAAAACAAAGGGAAACATAACATAAGAGCTAAAATATCAACAAAAAAAATGTGACATAGAAAGCAAAAGTAAACAAAAAGAAATCATGTCAAAAAGATCCAAGGTCGAATGATGCATGAGGTGGAGCTTCTTGAAAACTGAAACTACTGGTGTTAAGATTAATTGACACTTTATGCTTGTCGTTCACAAAATCAGCACATTTTGAACCACACACTCAAATGCATTTAGGTGAATATGTTGATTCTTCTTCCTGTATTAATCATGCACAAATGTTTTATTGGCCTCTGGAATTTCAGGTGGACTTTGTGTACATTTTTCCTTGTACACATAATAAGGGTGTGGCACTGAGTCACTGCAGTGACTGTCCTCGTGAATGATTGACCTGGACTTAATCAGAGGTATACACAGGCAAACAGCCCTTTCATGAACCCTTACATCGCTCTTACAGCCAACAGATGAAAATAATCACCATAATCACCATGAAAAGCTCCATGATATATTCAAACTCTTAATTTAATCTGTAAAATCAAATAATTTTTTGAAAGCTCAATATATATGAAAACAGATTTTGAACATATGGTTTGTAATAGGCATATGCCCAAAATATGTTGCATTCAAAGGGGAAAGTCTGAGTTTCCTATTCAGTTGACATGAAGTCAGTATATCATTCCATCTTTCTTCTGCCTATAATATCTCCATTCTAACTCCAAGCCCTGAACCCTGATGGACACATGTTCTGAGGTCATATGTCTGTTCTCACCCATGGACTGCAGGATCTGCTTAGCAGACCACCCTTTTACATGTACCCTGTGTGCCTGAGTGACCTCTCATTTAGAGATCACATGCTGGGCCCATTACAAACCTGCTGTTACTGTTCCAAAACTGGTGAAGATAATGTATATATAGCAATAATAAATGTATGTGTGTTTTATTAATTTCTCCAGTACCGATAGCAGAACTGTTAACGTCAGAGCTTATCGATACTCCGGTCTTTCATAATTTAGCCCCGGGACCGATTAAATACCGGGTTTCGGTACCCATCCCCATCTGAGACATGGGTGTCTCATCAGGAAAAGTGTGAGGGTCCACACATTCCTAACACTTGAAGTGTGGCTGTTGTATTAGCTGAATTACACAGGTCAGGGGTTAACTGGGCCCTGATTGCTGTTATTATGGGAAACCTGAAGAGCAACAAACACTGAGGTAAAAAAGTGACCATTGGAAACCGCTGCTCTGTTCAATGACAAAATAAATTCAAATAAGAATTCAAACCATCTATGTTACTAAATAGGAGAGTTGAGTGGATTTGCATGTGGGCTTGGCTGATGTCAAAATATTTAAGGAAGCATTTAAGTTGAATGGAAAAGACAGAAGGAAAGAAACAAAGAAATGAAGGAAGGACAGAAGGATGGAGGAATGGTGGACAGAAGTAAAAAAAGACAGAAAGAAAGGTGGAGTAGACACAGCAGCTGGGGCTCAATTTCTTAACCTTGGCGCAATTTTGGATGCAGTCTTGGGTCCATAACATGAAAAATGAATTTAGAGTACACTCTACATAAAAAATTGTGCTCTTTTTAGGCCTAATGCATGCTGTGCTATACTTCATCAGATCCCCAAAGGAAACTTCTGATGAGTCGGTTGGCCTTGTAACTTGGCCTCCTATGCTACCAGGACATCAACCACTGGGCTCCAAATCAACTGAAAAAACTTGGCCCAAGTGAGCCACAAATCAGAATCAAATCCATTCCCATGTCTGACCAGATCCAGCCAATCAGGGTCAACCTTACAGTTCCTACTCTCTGTCCCGCTCTATCCAATCAAACAGCTTCATGCCTTCCCTTCTTACAGCCTATCGGTGGAGTTTGTTTGACCTTGTCAGGCCTCCTTTGAGATTTTACTCTTCTTATGAGGACATTCCAAGCTCCACTTTGCCAAAGACAGAAAAAGAGTGAAGAAAAAATGCCTGGTTCTGTGGCTCACTATTTAAGCAAATACCCATGAAATGAGGCTGTAGTTGTAAGGCTGTTCATGTGTCTTCAAGAATAGGACCGAATCAGAGCTAATTAGAGGTGGATTCACAGCAGGATGCATTCCTGTGATCCAGTCTGGAGGAACTTTTGGACTCCTACCTTGGCCTCAACTTGATCATACCCACCTCCAAATAGTCAAACTGGTTGCTGGGATATTGAAGCGTATTGTTGACAGGTGGACAGGAATGCCAAATTTTTAAGAATCTGCTCAAGTTTAATGCAAAAATAACACGTAATAATCATAAATAAGTTTTAGTTTGAAATGTGTGCGCATGTAGGACTAGGTAATATCTTGGTAGGTAGGACCAGGTAATGTCCTGTACTCCAGCGCTGTGAAGTTTAGTTTGGATGGGGTGAAAGGTGACACCTTGCCAGTGTGGGTGCTGAAAGCTTAGTACACGTACTCTGACAGGCGTATCCACTTCAGACCTTTCCCTTGGTCTAATCCCTCCTGCAGGTTTTACATGCATGCCAAGGAAAGTTGAGCCTAGACCAGTGCCAAAGTCCCAGCAGTGTTCCCTCGCAGCCCAACCCCCTACACCACCCCTGGCCTGCTGACGGACGCACCACTTGGGTTTGAGAAGGCCATGACCTCTGACCTCACCCTGCCTCTTCTCTGCCTACTAAAAACTCTCCAGCTAGGAGGCCCCCTTCCAAGTAACTCAAGTGCTATTCTGATGTGACAAATTGCTCTGGAGCTCTGGAGAACTCAGTACCCTCCCCCTCGGCCTTCAGACTAACCCAGAGTGCTTACTCTGTCCTGGGGCCCCAACAGCAGGGGCTCCACTTCGCCTCCCCCACTCTTCAGCAAACCCTCAAGCCTTGCCTCGCCTTCTCCTGCCTTGCCTCAGCACATCTACAATGGGAATGAATGACTCAATTGTCTCTGATGAAGTGAAAGACAAGGGAGCCCTCTAAATCCTCCAAAAGGGATGAACTCTCTCTCTGTCCCTCTATTGCCTGGAGACTTCCGGGAGAAAGAGAGAGATAGAAAACACCAGAGACCACGAGTTGCTTAATCAGGTCTTCTGGCAAAATCTTTTCACCTAAACTGGATCTGGAGCTGAATTTTGCAAACTGACCTTTGCAGAAACCCTTTATTTTTCATGGAAAATCATTCCAAACCAGAACTCCACTTTACAATGTTAGGCCTACAGCTAAAGTCATCTGGATTATGGAAGCATTTGCAACAGTAAGTAAACTAGAGCAAACAAAACTGAATGTGATAACCAAATTTAATCCATGTAAATTGCGTGTTCGATTTGATTTTGGATTAAGAGCAAAGGCTTTTCCACAATCAGACAAATCAGATGCCTACATTGTCAGAGATATCTTCGGATCTATTTTCAGCTGTCCAGCATGGGATGAACCAATGCATTAGAAAGCATTCCAGCCACATTAACAATGTACACAGGAAAACCTGAAGACAAAATGGGGGGTCCGGAAGATCCCAGACCATCTGTGGAGAGGGGTCAAGAACATATGCAGCTACTAACACACATGGCACATGCATCCAAATGTTAATTTAACCATCACCATATCCACACATGATCTAAGGGTGTGAGAGCTGACCTCTTGCTAATTGCAAGAATAAAACAAGACATTATTTAAGCCAAGACACCTGAAACTGACTGATCAGATGTGGTCTGGTGGCTAGTGTGCATGTTCTAACATGTTGAACAGTGCGGTGACCCAAGTTTGAATGCGGATTAGGTCACACCTCCCACCACCTTCTTGTTATTTCCTGTCTCTGTAAATAAAAGTGGCAACACTAATTAGAATCTAAAAAGAGTATGTTTAAACCCGGGGTCGCCACATGTGGTTGCCGCAAGCCCGCCCGCCGCCGCCACTCAAGCCGCCAGCCTCTGCTCACTCTAGGCCTATAAGAATTATGATAAATACCACTCCCACTGAACAAGCAACAATAAAAAGCCCATTGTTTTGTTCACAGGTGCTGAGGAACAGGCAAGCATGGATACATACAGACTTGCACTTAATACACTCGCTCTCTCAAGATGAGAAATTTTTTGGGGAAAGGACATAATAATGATCCAGACAGGCTCTTTGAAATTCACTGATCCAAAGAGAAGGGATCTGCCCATCTGTGAGACTCCCATCTCTAGAGAGGTAGAGAGAGCGGGAAAAGAGAGAGAAAGCATGTGTTTGGGTGTGTGTGTGTGTGCGTCTGTCTGTCTTTGTATGTTTGCTTGAAACATTCAAATAGCCTTCATTTCGGATGGATGGAAGCATGCTGGAGGTGGGGGCTAGGGGTGGAGGGAGTGGAGGAGGAGGAGGAGTAGCTCAACACTAGATGAAACTGAAAGTTAGTGTACACGAAGGCTCTTCACACTTGCTTAGTTCTTCTAATACACATTTTATGAGTAAATAAAGGAAAAAAAGAGAAAAGAACACCCCACCAGCTCAGATTGCCTCAGGCATTCTGCAACCTGGAAAATAAAGCTGGAATGTGGGCAGGCCTGGGGTTTGTGTGCCCCGGGGCAGGAGAGGGTCCGCGGGGCCCGTATTTACTCCGAAGCTGGAACCGCTGGGGGGTTCTCAGCACTCTGACAGCACAGAGCCAGAGACCCCAGCCTGATCTCCTCCATCCCCTCGCCTCTCACCTTGGCCCTCTTCATAATAAACACCCACTGACATTTTTCTTTCACACTGCCTCTAAAACTGATCTTCCAAACAGTTGACAAGGCAGGCATCTTTTGAAACTTAGGCCTAAAACATACTCCACAAAAGTATTTGAACATGGATGCTTCGAGCTAAGCAAGCTTGATTTCATGTATTGATCCGAAATAGCATAAAATAGCATGAATGCACACTGCATTCTCAGCACTGCCACAAGGGGTGCTATAATGGGCGCAGAACAACAGTTTAAGCACAAAAATGATTGAGTTTATAGT